CTAATGACTCTTAACAGCCTTAGGGCCCACAGCATTGAAATAAGGGGTTGGGAGAGCTATGGAGGCTGCTTTGTGTATTTAACAATCCTGCAAAGCTACCACAGGCTAGGAAAACAAGACCTTGGGGCAGTTCCCAGTGGGATTTCGAGATCCCTGCCATGCTGTGAGCATCTCTTTCAAACAGGCAAGGAAGAAAAGCCTTTTCCAGATTCTTCAGACCCTCTCATTACAGCTGTCTGAGACTGGGCTCATATATCCAGGGTAATTACAGGCCATCAATCACAGAAGCAAGTAATGGGAAGGCTCGGGGTCAGACACGCCTGTCTTGCCTCAGTAAAGCTTTTGGTGCTCAGCTGTTCCCAGCAGGTTTCTTCATCCCTAGCCCATTCAGCACAGAAAGGAACCAGCAGGAAGCAGTCAAGAGGTTGGCCACCCACCGAAAGGCTTAATGAAGAGCTGATGGACCTGGACAGGGGGAGGAGGTGGGAGCCATGTGGGAATCCCCCCCAGGGGAAAAGCCAAATCTAAAGATAAAGACCTGTATTAGCACCTACCAAGGACAGTCCAGACTTCGGAATCAACAGGATGTAGCATTTGCACAGGCAGACTCCTGCTCATCTCTTTAAAACTGGTCCATTTGCTTACTCCCCTGTGTGACACTAAACTCCTGTCCAGGAAAAACACTGAGTAAAGGGAGAGCCTATAAGGTGGGGTTTTGACCTTTAATCACAATTCCAGCAAAATCAGGGTCCAGAGGAGAAGGGACTGCAACCTCACAACAAAAGGGCGTAACTTCTCAATTTGTGCCTCTAGGGAGGTAGGATATCAGTCCTTAAAGAGGACCTTTCACTAGCTACCATCTCCTCCTGGTTGTCCTTTGGCTCTCGTGCTTCTGGCCTGCAGCATTGCTTTTATCACGCAAGCAGAGTGTTCGCTTTCTTGATTGTGCAGTACCAGCTCTTTGTTGTGACAGCCAGCTGTATCCTCCACGTGTCCTGAAATGAGCAGCAGCTGCAGGCAGGCCCCCAACATTCAGCAGCATCCTTTGTCCTTGATCTGGAATGCTGTTAGCTGGCGCCACCTTCCAAAGGCCTTAAATAGTGAAGTGGACAAATCAAATACTCACGTTACCCTTGAGGGCTTGCAGCCACCCTCACAGTACCTGTAAACAAAGCTTTTCCTCTAGCAATGGCTATGCCAACTGCCTCACCACTCACTCAGAGCCCTCCCCTATGTTTCTGTAGCCAATAAGTGAAGTGCAGAGTACAAATCAATGTGAAAAAAGGGAGACCAATGCCCCCTCTGCCCTCTAATTTCAGTACTTGCTCGCCTCTCGTTAAAGGAGGACCTAATCCTGCATGGATCTTTGGGAGGCAGGCAGAGGAGCAAACTCACTATTTGAGCTCTTTGCCTGCTCACTGAAATTTATAGCAATTTGCCTGCCCCTGGGTGCAAGTCAGCACAGTCCTCCAGCACTAACGTGGAGCCTGCTTCCTCCCTGAGTGGGCTCTTGAGAGGCAGGGGATTAGTGGATTAACATCTCTGATAACAGCAGGGAAGGGGGCACACGTCAGGGAAATTGACTGCTGACACAAAGCTTTGAAAACCACCCAAAGATGAACCTATATAAAGCTGGAAGCTATTTCCCTTTGTTATGGGCAAGTCCCATTCCCTTCTCCCTAAGCAAGTGCTTTATACAGGGAGAGACAGACAGGTAACACCAGTTGTCCCTTTGGGGCGCTTTTTGGTTCACTGAGGTGCAAAGAATTAAAGCAGTCATAAATGCTTACCTGAGATAGTAGGTTCCTGGCTTCCTCCTCCAAAAGCTTCTGCACCACACAGCTTTGCAAATGTCGTCGTCTCCACACCCTCCACGCCTTTTCTATCAGTCGCTGCTGGTCCTGCCAGGAAAAGAGGCAGTGCCCAGATTAGTTGGGCTCTGGCAGTCAACCAACCTCACCTCCCTCTAGTCCCACCTTGCTTCCAGTTGCTTTCTCAGGTCTCTCTTGAATGACTTTGCATTGGTAACAAACAAAGCTGATCACTAATAAAGCTCTTGCTGAACTACTGTGCCCTGCAAATATTGTGGCTAATTAAGTCACAGTACCCTGGAGAAAGGACAGTGCCCCATCAGTGCTCCAGCACAGCTCCTCAGTGACTAAGGATGCACTCACTATACATGCATCACCTTGTCTCACGGGCATGTCAGAGCACATCTCACACAGCTAATGCCCAGGAAACCAGACAGAACACGGGTCTGTTCCACAGATGGCTAGGGCCTGACAGAAGGGGAGGCCAAATGACAGCCCTTGGTAGGCTGTGGACACCAGAGGGATGTATCAAGAACACAGACAAGGACACAGATTGTAGTATTACCTGTGAACTTTTTGTACAGGCTACAGACAGTCTATACAAATCACCCTGCCTCAGCTTCCCATCTGTAAAATGGGGCCAAGCACAACTAAATATACAGATATGCCAGTCTGCCATGCTGGTATTTCAAAGAGAAAGATGAAAAAGTAGCCACAGCAGCAAAACAGGATTTCTGGTGCACACCGGTACTTGTTAAACCCCCAGGTCTCATCTCCCAGGACATATGTGAGGCTGCAAGCAGAGCAGACTTGCCCAGTAACACCCATTACTGCCACCCTGGTGGCAGTACCGGACACCCACCAACACCTGAGCCAGTATCACCACCCTACTGGCTTCTTTCCACTGGTGCCATCCCTCTGCCAGACAGCGCAGTCTCCTGTCATGCTGGCACTGGCGAAGTATCACCATGTGATGCCACCACCTCAGATACTTCCTCCTATAGACAAGAGGGGAAAATAAGCCTTATCAGCCCAACAGCCCTACAAGTGAGTCCTTCCCTGATGGCAGCAACAACAGGAAGCCCAGAGCCCTCCACTCCACTTACCCAAGCCACTTCTCATCCCACTCCTCCAAGTCCACTTCTACTTTGTTCTCCTGGATCCTTGCATGTACAGGAGAGGGTCCTACCACACCAGGTCTCTCTACCAGGTGAGGGAACAGCAGCCTTTCAGCCCTGTTTTGGTTTCTGTAAATCACCAGCCAGCGGTGAATGGCACTGGGAAAAAGCCCAAGAGGGGCAGCTGGTGCTGAACCTTTTTCTCTGCCTCTTCTGCCTTCTAGGAAAGAAAAGATTAATCACACAGGAGCTAACCTTGGAGCTAGAGAGGTAGAGATCAGAGCTGCCATAAGCTGTTACCCCTTTGGCTCCTGAACACAGAAGCAACCCACAGTCAGAGTTTGACTGCATGAGCACCTATTCCACAGAAGAATCCCAGTCAGCTGGCTGGCAAACACTATTCCCCTTCCCTCCTCACTCACACTCCCCACATGGCCCCACGAAAGGAAGAGAGAAGCGGGCATCTTCTTACTCATGGACCAAGAGAGAGACATCTTCCTGCTCTTCCTAGCACCTATCAGGCTACTGCACTGCCGAGAGCACTGGGAAAAGGCAGCTGCTTTTGTCCAGTAGTTGCAGGCCTGCAAACAGAAATAACACAGCTGCAGCCAAGACTAAACACAATGCGCACAGACAGCACACACACAAACTAGCCTTAGAGATACATTTATGTTCATATCCCTGCAGGTAGTTCAATGTGCTAGACCCCAGGCTGGAAACTGGACAGATGAGATCCCAGCAGGACTGACTCAGCCCTTGCAAATCAATCGACCTCTTTGTGGTTTGCTAGCTGTGAGTCTTTTGAAAGAAGCCGCAACTCTGACAGCTCGCTCTGCTCTGCAGGGACAGTGATTATCCCATCTCATCTTTGAGCAGAGAGGAAGGAGTGCTCTCCTCTCTCTGGTCAAAATGTCCCCATTCCTTATTGCTGTGCTCCAGATGGTTGCTGCAATCAGTGCCAGATTATGGCGATGAAGTTGTGTGCACAGTCCATAAAGAATTTCAAGGTAGGGACCAAGCAGTCACCACAAGTCAAACCAGGTTTTTTTTACACGCCTTGTTACTGTATCTCAGTGCCTAGTGACCCAGCTGAGGTCTTCATGAGAGAATAGGCCATTATGAATAACTGTCTCATAGGGACCTTCATCTTTTCTTACCTGTTTTATGGTAGCCACAGATCCTAGGCGCAGGGCTTGCTGTCCTCTTGAGGCCAATCGCCAGCGGTGACAGGCTTTACCCTGAGATGGTCCCTGCCACTTATGGTTTCTCTCTCCCAGCACCCTCTGTTCAGCTCTCAGGAATTTCACCCTCCACTCAGTAAAGCTCACAACTAGGAGATGGTGCTCTCTGACCCTTTTAAAACAAGAGAGGGCTTCGTGCTGCCTCAGTCTACAAGCAGTGACCTGGGCCCAGGTAACTAAGCACCTGAAAAACAATACAAGCACAGAAAAGCGGCAGGTGCCTGAAGTCACATTTCCATGTCAGCACCAAACAGGCTATAGACCAAATTCCACCTTCTCACCCCACCCTGCAGTGTCACACGTTAAGTGGTCAAAGCAAGCGAAAAAGCATTCAACAAGAAAAAATGCTGTTCCTATTATTCCTTCTGCAATCAACATTTATATATCTTTCTCCGCGTTATTTTTCCAGTGCCTTGTCCTTGGGAGGTGTAAGTTCAGACTCCTCACTACAGTTTCTTTCTGCTAAAAACTTGCCCTCATTTTACTTCAGATTCCCAGCACTTTTACCTCTCAACTCCTCAAAGCCCAGGAGTATGCTTCCTTCTGGCCATTTTAGCATTTCCTCCTCTTCAAAAGCCTCTCCAAACTGAATGCAATGTTATACTATGTTTTTCCTTTGCCTACAAAACAAATGCTTTCCTAGGCTGCCCTGCCACTACACATAGTGGATCCCTCAAAAAAAGAAAGGAATTAAATTAGTCAGTCTCCAATCTTTATCTGTGTCAGCAGCTGACCTCTAGGAAGATGCTTGAGGAAGGCTTTTTCCTTATGGGATGAGAATAAAACTGCTAAAATCTCCTTCAGCATGGAAGCCAACAGACTCCTTAAGTCTGTTTGCTGCAGAACCAGGCTGGATTTAAGACAGCATCTTGTCAAGATTCAGATTTTAATTTTTTTCTTGGCTGTCACTAACTAAGGGCCTGTGCACATGGGATGTACAATTAGAATACAGCATCTTTATGGAGACAATTTTACACACTCCCCCCCACCCCCGATCAATGTTTACAGGAGTTACTATTAACACCACAATAATCTCTCTGTATCTCGCAGACTGATGCACAGGAGGCCAGTCTTGCTCTGCTACCCCAGAAGCCAATCTGCTTTTAACTCCTGGCTTGTCCTTTTGGTTCCTTGTTCCACTTGGACTTTCATTATGCAAATCACCCCACTGCACCATAGGGCAGAGGTGTAAATATCCTCTGCCTGGCAGGCTTCTCTGAAGATCAAGAGAATCTATTGCAGGTTATCCTAGCATGAAAAATGCCCCCCCTCAGAAAGAGACAGGGCTCAGCCTGTACCATACGCAGGTGAGAAATTAGAAGCAGTCTCTCATCAAAGGGGAACTCAGAAGGAAGATTAATGGTGGAGAAACACTCTACAGGAAAGACCAACATTAAGGACTTCTCCAAAACACACTTCCCACTAGGGTGCCACCACACAGATAGATTTGCAGAAGAAAATGCAATTGGGTGGGGTGAGTGCAGAGCCTAAGTATCACAGCCACTAAGGTTTTACTGGGTTTTTATTTGCTTTCTTCTCTGCAGATCTTCGTCCTCTCAGCCTGAACCTGCAATTCAAAAAGAAATCTGCTAGGGCCAAACCTGCACTTCTCATGCCTTAAATGAATCCTGGGCATAAATAATCATCTTATTCATTCTCACCCTCCTGGATTATCTCAAAGAGAACCACCTGAACAATTCCTGGTTCACTGCATTTCAGGCAGACAGCAGCCTCACACAACAAAAACCACAAATAAAACAGATTTCAGTGAGAAAGCTGCTGAATAACAGCTAAAGAGAAAAGAAGTTGTTAATGACTGGCAGCCAACACTTTGCTCTTCAGATTAAATTCTTGTGTTTTCAGGATCTGCACAGTAATGTAAGACTCCAAAACATACTACAGCTTCCAACTATATTGTAACTTGGATGAACTGAATATCATGGTCCTCCCTTCACAGGCTTTACTGAATATTTCTTCTCTACATGAATATATTGAACTTAATTTTTCACATTAGTTTAAATTAAAATCAACATGCTGTGTCCAGATCTAAAAGATTCAGGTTTGTAAACATCAGATCTCTCTAAGACCACTGCCCAGTATTCCTTTCAGCAAATACTGAATAATTCCAGTGGAAACAAGGCTTTCACTTTTTCACTTTTTTGAACTACACAAATTTGTTTGTTTCTCCCTTGCTTAGTTTACAAATACCACACTGCATACTTAAGACTGAACAGAAGTTCTGGAAAGAAAAGAAGTTCTGAGTGAGAAGAACGAGATGGGGAGTGTGAGTCTATGGGTAACAGACCCTTTAATATAGGGGCACCCCCAGGGAAGCACTCCTACAGAAGCTCCATTTACACACAAGTTACCTGTACTTTCAAACCCAAACTCTAAGTTTGAATACACTGGATTCTCTGCTACATAAATTGCTTTTCACTCAAAGCTTCCCTCAGAAATGCTGTGCGGGCAGAAAACAAACCTGTGCAGGAGAACATGTTCCCAGAATAAAGCAGCACATTTCTGCTTCTTTGTTTGGCAATACCATGTCTGCAGGACCAACCTCTTCCTCTCCTGACAGCTGTGCTGAGCCCATTGCTGCTGCAGCTCTCTCACAGCACGACTCCCTGTGAGAGAACACAAGAGCTTGCTGAGCTGAGCCCAACGATTTTTTTTTTTCATCACAGAGTCCAGACAAGAGCAGAGAATATAACTGCTGTAAATACCAAATGGGATCAGGCTTCCTAAGATTTCCTGTCCTCTCTTCAGCAGCTGAAGAGACACTTAAATTCACCTTGTAGATTTTTGTATGCAAGACAGTCAGATCTTTTTTTTCCCCCCTGCTCTTCCCCAAGCAAGGGATCACAGATCACTTCCACTCTCTTCTGCAAGGCAGTTTTCCATCAAAAATGGGGAGTGTTCTTTCCCTGGCACAGTGTAAGTACTTAGCCCTTCAAGCACTTGGAATCCCTTGAGGGACAGGATCAGGACTGTTAAGCAGCCCCAAAAGATACAACCTGCTCCCACTGAAGCAAAGCCTGACTATTGGGTCTGAGGAGACATGTTCAAGCTCAGAATGCTGCATCTGAACTCCATTTAACTCCCCAGCTGCTAAAATGCACTGCTTGAATACTCCTTTGGTAGTGCAGGTAAAGGGAAATCTGCCCCTTTTCCAATCAGCTGCCAAAGGAGCATCTCCCCTAGCATCAAGCACTACAGAACAGCAGTGCATGTGTCCTGCTTGTAGGCACAAGAAGGCAGCGCCATTCCAGGGAAGCAGTGCACAGAGTTACAACCAGAAGCAGGACTTTCTCCATCCCAACCATTCCCACAACATCCCTTTCCTACAGACACAAGTAGGATGTGGTAACTCACGTT